GTTATATCTAATCACTTGGGAAAAATGCGACACTTTAATGGAAATTTTTTTCAACAATGAAAATCATGTAGACATTAACACTTCTAGCAGCCAACCATGGATATTAGCTTCTAGTTATTTATCCGCTTCTAGTTTCTCGAAACCTTCTTTGGCGTATTATCGCTGTTTGGCACTTTTTACGTGAATAAAAGAAGTAAATAAGCAATCTGAAAGGTTAGTTGTTAATAATGAAAGCTGTCTTTGAACGGGAAAATTGACAAGAAAAAAAGTAACTATATTTATTTTAATATCTGGATACATATTTCCCTGGAATACCACATGGCGCACCCTTTGAGAACCACTAATGCGTTTCTATAAAGAGTTAATTGAGATGTTATCAATTTCTAGTATTGAAAACAGAAAACAACCAGTTATGTTTTACTAATTTATTTAAGAAATCACAAATAAATAAATGTCCCATTTAAATGTAATATACTTAAAAACGTTAATGATTATATCAGAGTGTATTAATATGGAATAATCGATGGCAAATGGTAAACAAGAAGCGGCTGTGAGGAAAATGAAAAACAAACTCCCACGCACTGTCAACATTTTAGTTAGGCGACTAAATAGTTCCAATACTGCAAGTTCCTTTACTCTTCGTTAAGTGCGCTTTAAGTGACTAAATAGTTACCAAATAGTTTTCGATCTAAAAATAGACTTTAAAGAAACTGCATTGCTTGTTCATTCTCTCTGAGGCTACTAAAACGTAAACAACGGGGAAAAACGACTTTGAATACATCAATATTGAGTGAAACACATTTTTTGTAATTAATTAAAAAAATGTTTGAGAATTTAAAAAATAATCAAACAGTTTTTTTTTTAGATATTTCCGGATGAGTTGACAAAGCTTTAATAAAAAGGAAATAATAATTTTATTAACCGGAAAAATGTTTTTTTTTTTTTTAAAAAATAACGATTAAAAAATTTTTTCCTGATAAATGAATTTCTAAAAAAGTATTATACTCAAGATTTCAAGAAAAAAAAAATAGGCATTAATATTTAGTTAAACTGTGTAATGGGTGAAATAAAAGTGTTACATAAAATATGTATAATATGTATATAAATATTTAGCTTTTTTTTTTTTGCTTTAAAATTGCTTCAGATTTTTAAAATTACTGCAGTCTTTTTTTTCTCACAAACTTCCAACCACAATTTTCTTTTTAATAAATGTTTATCGGGATATTCCTTCATCTTGGAATTGATAAGATTTTTATTAAGATTATAAAAAAAAAGAAAAAAAAGAGGAAGAAAAATAATACAAAGTTCGCTCGTTGAAGACAAGTAGTCAACTAAATAATAACCGTTGCTCGCGAACAAGCCTGAAATCATTGAAAAATATACATATTATATATATATACTTCCTCATTGAAAAATATACATTTCACTTTGAAATTGCACTAAACAAATAAATGAGTGGTGCTAAATTTTATAATAAAATATTCAAACCTGATTGAATTAACACATGTTTGTGAACAAGCATTTTGAGGCATGGATAAAAAAAAATCGATAAATAAAAACAATTTGCACCAAGAACTAAAACACTTATTAAATTTGCGTGATAGCACTCATCAAATTTTATATTTACTGTTTTATTATATAATATTATTTATTTTTTTATTATACATAAAGAAGTTAATTGATGTAGGAAGTCCTTGGGTGCAGCAAAGTGTACTAGAAAGTCAAGTGGATTTGACCGATAAATGAAAAGTTACCAGTATTTTTAGTTCATTTTACTAGTTTAGTTTAAAGAATTTAACGAGTTAGGATTTACACCAGCAGTGTAGCCAGCAGCACATACGGTGAGTATCAATGCGAGAAAGTAGAGTAACTGTAAGCGAAGAATATATTTTCTCTGAATCAAAAACAAGTAATAAAAAAAAATTTTTTTAAGTCAATTCCTACTTTTTTTTTCACTATATTGCAGAAAAGTCCTTTATAAAAAATGTTCATTTATTTTCGTAAGTTTATCTGGCCTATCTATTGGTAGATATACGCAACTTAAATTTTAAATTTTTTTTTAATTAATTAATTAAATTTAATTACTGAATTAATATTTGAAAAGTCTGTATTAACATCCAGTGTCATCCACTACAAGTTTAAAAAAAAAAAAAAAAATGTATTTGAGCTTGAGTGGACGAATAAAAAGTATTTTATGAACGATTGAAAATTTGAACAAGATATATATAGGGAGAGTGTGAGCCAATAGAAGGAAATGAAAAAAATGATATAATGAGCTGTAAGACTTATGATTAAAGGAAACATTTAAAATGAAAGAGAGATAAAAACATGAACAAAACAGCTCGAGACACAATTATTAGCATGCTATATGTAAATAATTGTATTGCGAGCTATTTTCTCTAAACAATTCACATCAACAATGGGAGGGGAATGCCGAATGTAGTGAAACTGGATTTGTAGTAGGAACATCAGAATTCCTTGAATTTGAGGGGTCGTTTCTTCTTTCTTCTATGCTGAGGGGGGATTTGTTATCATTTGAGCTTGAGTTTTATTGTTATCTGAGAAACGGTAGAGTATTTATTGGAGGATGCAATACTTGCTTCTTAAAAGGTTTGAGTTGAATGTTTCTTGGATCACCAGTTCTTTTCTTTGCTTAATATCTTTAATTAAGGAGCTGTAAGCTTTGATTCCATCTTGTAGTTGTGTAGGGGTAGTGATATTTTCCATTCGGTTGTTTGGGCTTGAATAACTGGTTTTTTGTGATTTCAGATGTTGATGAAAAATTTTTTAAATATTTTTTGTTTTTGATGAAATCTTGTATTTAGTCTATTTTTAAATTATGATGTATTGTCATGCTACGAACATACCAGGGAACTCCAGTGATGATACGGAGGAATGTGTTCTGGCTGATTTGTACTTGATGTTTCTTTTGGCTGTTATGCCCGTATTGGAGCTGCATAACAGTACTGGTTGATAAAGTTGTTTGTATAATAGAATATTCCGAGGGTGCGGAAGTTGTAAAGCTCCGACAGTCAGTACGAATGATCTAAAAAAACAAATCATTAAAATTATTTTGGTTAGTATATTGCAGAGCGTGGGTAATAAAGCTGACAGAGACCAGCAAAAGTAATAGAGTCAGCGATTAATTGCAGACAGGCAAGAAGGTGTTGTTATGAGAAAGTGCGAGAATATAGTACAAAATTTATAGGAGTTAGTCCAATAACTGAATTTGTTAGTTGCAGGTAAAGAAATTAATAAGAGCTAACCGATGTTATTACATATATGCTAGCTAATTTTCGATTTTATTTTATTTATTAATTATTATTATTATTTATTTATTTATTTGCCCTTCACAAGTGTGTCATTCAGTCGTTGCTGTTTTTAACGACTTGCCTTATCATATGCCAATTGTATTTTTACAAAGTTATATGAATGATAATTTTTTAGACTTATTCTATTATTGCCCTACATTTTGAAAACGATGATTTCTTTTACGCTTTTTTTTTTTTCAATCTTTCATTTTTCTCAGATAATAGATAATTATTATTATCTAATTATTCACACACCTCATTCTACATTGATCTAAAATTTTGCATAATTATTTTCAATATTTTTATTGCAATCAATTGTAAATGCCATTGTTTCTCATAGAATTCTTTTTCTCTCACCACGAAAATGTGTAATACAGTCTGTTTTTCATGTAATATAAGGTGTTTTTTTTTTTTTTTTTACCGCAGGAGACTGAAATGTAATAAAAAAAGAATTTTTTGTTTAAAATACCACATGTTTTAAAATTTTTAAACGCTTATTTTAAATTTTAAATGTCCTTGTTTTTATTTACTTATTTATTTTGGAATTACGTTTCTGTCTCTATCCACGAAATCCTCCATTATGAGGAAACGACACATGGCGACTTAAATTTGTAATATAGCCTGTTTTACATGTAATATTATATATTTTTTACTACACGAAACTAAAATGTGTATTAAAAAAATTTCTTTTTGTTAAAAATGCCATTTAAAAAAATTTAAAAGCTTATTTTTCAATTTTCAATTTTATTGTTTTTTTTAGAATTTCCTTTCTCTCTCTCTCTCCACGAAATCACCCATTCTGAGGGATCGCCACATGGAGACTGAAATTAGTAATACAGCCTGTTTTTCTTGTAATATAATGATTTTTAACTACATGAAACTGAAATGTATAATAAAAGAATTCTTTGTTAAAAACTACCATGTGTTTTAAAATTTTTAAAAACTTATTTTCAATTTTAAATGTTATTGTTTTCATTAGAATTACCATTCTTTCTTTTCTCTGTCTCTCTCTACGAAATCCTCCATTCTGAGGAATCGACAAAATTGAAGACTGAAAGGAATCATACAGCCTATTTTCATGTAATATAACATTTTTTACTACACTGAAACTAAAATGGTATTAATAACAAAGAATTCTTTTAATACACATGTGTTATAAAATTTTTAAATGCTTATTTTCAATTTTAAATGTCATTTCGAAATTTTCTGGATAATTCCCTTTTAATCGACACATAAATGTATAATAAAAAATGCGTTGCAGTATGTAAAATAAAAGTTAACCTTCTATTAAGCTTTTAGCTTTGCTTTGCTTCACATTTAGAAATATCGATCGTTTCAATTGTTTCGTGCTTTAATATATCCTACCATTAGATTCTACGTTAAAAGGGATTTATACTACTTTAAGAAATAATAACTTATTTATTTAGTGGATCAATGTATCTGGGCTTAAGTGTAGTGGGACAAAAATTGCGCATTGACGCCAATGATCCCTCCTTATCTCTTCATCCCCCCCACCCCCAGACGAAGGCAAAGACTTGCTGAAGGCTACGACGCGTGGCTTCAAATACGTCATAGCAGCTGGCTTGTTCCATTTCTGTACTTCAAATCCTTATGGGATTCAACTGCATGGTTGCCAGTAGCTAACTGTGAGCTTTGGGTAAGTACGAAATTAGGGAAACCGCTTGAGTGTCCCATGTGGTCTAGCGGTCAGGACTCTTGGCTTTAACCCAGGCAACTCGGGTTCGACTCCCGGCGTGGGAAGGTTAAACGGTAAGATCTGTCTGCCGTTTGTTTTTAAGGTTGAGGGGATAAAAATCTCTTCTGCAGATGTTATTTTTTTTAACATAGAATGTGTCTTTTACATGGACAAAGGTCACTGAATAATTATGCAACAACATGACTCTATTAATCTTTTTGCCCTTTTATTTGACGAGTTTAAAATGTCGAGGTAATTTCTAACCTTTTAATTTTTAATGAGGCTTTATTATTATTGTGAACCTATCTAGAAGAAAGGGCCAGCTTTAATACAAATTTTCACCATAATTTTTCAATCTATTTCAAATTTTATTTTTAACATCGAATGTCTTTTATATATGGAAAAGGTGACTGAATTAGTTGCATAACAGCATGACTATTGCCCTTTTATTTAACGTGTTTAAAATGTCGAGCATTTTTTCTCACCTTTTAATTTTTAACGGTGCTTTATTATTATTGTGAACCTATCTAGAAGAGAGGGTCATCTTTACTATAAATTTTCACTGTAATTTTTCAATCGACTTCAAATTTTATTTTTAACATGGAATGTTTATATATGGACAAAGGTGATCGAATAAGTTGCAGCATGTCTCTATTGCCCTTTTATTTAACGCGTTTAAAATGTCGAGCAGTTTTTCCTCACCTTTTAATTTTTAATGATGCTTTATCATTATTGTGAACCTATCTAGAAGAGAAGAATTTACTATAAATTTTAAATAATTTTTAAATCGACTTTAAATTTTATTTTTAGTGTAGAATGTGTTTTATACATGGACAATGATGATTGAATACACTAAGCAACAGCATGACTTTATTACCTCTTTATTTAATGAATTTAATATGTCGAACAATATTTTCTCACCTTTTAATTTTTAACGATACTTTATTATTATTGTGAATCTATCTAGAAGAGAGGGTTTCTATAAATTTTTACTATAATTTTCAAATTTTCCCTATAATTTTACTTTAAATTTTATCTACTTTAAATTTTATTTCGTCTTCATTTTGACCTAATTTTTTCCTTTTAACAAAATATTGTACTATTGTAATAATTTTAACAAAATAACATTCTTTCATTTATTTACCGTTTAATTTAATTTCTGTCTGAAGAAATATTCAACCTCATATTTAAGATCTGAAATTTTGAGAAATTTTTAAATGAACATTCTCAATTTCATAGAAATAAATTTTTTAAAATATTTATTGATATTCTAATTCACAAATTCGTGTATTTTTTTAGCTATAAATTTACATGCACAAGATAAAACCAACATTTATAATCGTAAAAAATAATAAATAAATCAAAAAAAGAAAAAAAAAATTGATAATGGAAATTTGCGCTGTGAGTAATAGCTTCATTCCTCTTCAAAAAAAATCTAAGGTTCCGCTTATTTTACATTCATTTCATTTTTTTCTAAATTCTGAAAAATTTTCGATTGTTTTGTAATTATACACCAAATAAAAATATAGCGAATTAACGGAAGAAAAATTGAACTTTTCAATGATATAGTTTTTTAAGTTAAAATAAATTTTTAGATTAAATTAATCTCATGCAATAAGGAATTAAAAATTTTTCCCCGTATTATGCAAGTACCTTATTCGTAACAGTTTTTTTCCTTTATAACAGGGAAAACATGTTTTATATAACCAGCCTTGATTAAAAATACTGCTTTTCTAATTTATTCATTGAATTACCATATTGCAAAGAACGTATTCCAGATTCATTTAAATTAATTTGTGATCCCGAAGATTTTAATGGAAGTTAAAAGCTTTTTCCCTATAAAAATATTTTAACAAAATTAAAAATTTCTTTTATTTATTTCGGTGACCTTGGTCTTTTTGCATTAAATTTCAGTCTTGATCTAATTTTTTATTTTGTATCGTCCTTTGGTCGTTACTTTATGAGAATACAACCTAGTGAGAATTTAACCAAGAGAGAGAGATATCAGGGAATCGAACATAAATCCAGATTTTTAACCATATTTTATTAAACGCTATATTAACACAATGCTACTAATTTCTGCATCTTACGAATTTTAAAGATTATATAAATGAAGATAGAAAAAGGTAGACAATTTTCCTGGATGATTCATAAAGGAGAATATGCCCCCTCTTGTATAATATTAATTACTACGTTAACTGTAACTGCCATACATTAACTGCAACTGATGTAAGTTAACTGCAATTGTAATATAGTATTTAAGGCACTCAAAGCAAATGTAAAAAAGGTCAAAATTTGAAATGCTTTTATTGATTTGTAATATAACTTTCAATGAATACCACAATTATAATTTAATTTGTATCATACAAAATAAGATATAGCTTCCAGCATATCGTACATTTCATTTAAATTATATACTTGAAAATAACTTAAAATTTCGTTACAGTTTTTAAAATAAAATAATCAAAGTTAATTTATAATATTGATGGTAAAACCCATATAATGCCCATAAAATTCATAAAATGCAGGTTTATATATATATATATATATATATATATATATATATATATATGCGTTTATATTAATTTTTATGAATTTTTTTATTCGCAAAATTAATAATTTTATTAATATTTAATTAATAATTAATATTTAATTTTTTATTTTTTTATTGCAAATTTTTTGTATGAATATATATTCATAAAAATTGAAAAATTAATTGAACTTAACTAGTCAAACCACAACGGTGAATGTTTACAGTCCATTTGACCATTCACAAAACTAACTGCTGCATCAGCATGCCTTCGCGATCACACGGCATTTCGATGTCTCTTTCCAAATTCGAACGCAGATTGTACTTACTGAAACATTTTAGGTTTAGAGCCTACAACTATAGAATATGATTCACTCAACATTATAAAAACAAAAGCATGCTGGAAAGACGTCGCGTTCAAATTAAAGATATATTTAGAACAGTTGAATGTCATAGAGGTGAATAATTTTAATTCATTGTTACCAACTTGATGGTTACCAACCAACTCAAGAAGAAGGTGCACAAAGGATTTTATTGATAGCTGGACAAAAATTATTTTGTCATCAAAGATGGCTGACTTATTGGACGATTACGATAGATTGCAGGAAAGTGGGAAATTATTTATACACTCCATCTCAGAGTCAAATGGTAAACTTTAGAACTTTGAAAATATCTGCTTATGCTGAGCCTGTCTATTGTTAAAGAGAAGGCGAAGGAAGGATCAAGATTGTTTCGCAGTTAGGGCGAGGAGGAGTTGACTAAACGAGGTTAGGTTTAAATTATATAACCCTAAAGATAAGCTGAGACCCTAAAGATATCAAAGGAACGTGTTGGATATATCGTGAATGAATATTTGATATGCGAAAGTTCTGTTCAAAGTGGTTGCCGCGCGAGCTCACAATCGACCAAAAACAACAATGAATTGATGATTCTAAGCAGTGTTAGGAGCTGTTCAATCGTAATAAACCCAAATTTTTGCGTCGATAGGTGACAATGGATGAAACATGGCTCCATCATGTCACACCGGAGTCCAATCGACAGTCAGCCGAGTGGACTGCGCGTGATGATAACACTAAAAATGCTATAACTCACATATTAACAGAGCAAAAAGCTGTCAAATTTATACACGTGTCTTTTGAAGGTTAGGGCTAACTAAAAATCATATGGATTTAATACTAGTAGCGCCATCTATGTGTCAGATGCCCATTTTTTAGCCCACCTGTTATTTCAGTGCATATTGTACCATCATATGTGTAAGTGTCGTTGAAGGTAACATAACGAATAAGAAACGAGGTTTTGTATTAATGGAATTCGATTATTATGACACTGTTAATTAAATCGTCTCCAATCTCACGATTCGACGATTCGAAGTCAAGAAAGCTCTTTCAGGAGAAGAAATGGAACGACTTATACAGAAAAGATGTAAGATGCTGTCGTCGCCATGGAGACTAATCTGATAAGATAGTCATCATGGTAATGTAGACGCCCACTAGAGGTTACTGATAGGACTGATAGGAAATCTTGTGAACTTGAATGATAGAATTTTGTTTTAAGTACTTCATGTAGTATATTGATTCTTTATATGAAAGGCAAAATTCCAGCAAGAAATTCTGCGTGAATTTTGTGACACATGAGATCTCATTTCGAGATTTATATAGTTCAGGGTTAGTAATTTTATCCAATGTGCTCGAAATTCATGCGAGATTTCTTTCGGGAATTTTTGAAGATCTTTTATATGCAATGTCTCATGCACGTTTTTTCTCTAGAAGAAAAGAGGTACTACACTATTTTTGAGAGATTTTGCAGTATTATTAGTTTAATTTTGTTAGCATTATATGCTTTAATTATTGTGGCATTGTGTAATTATTTAGTTGGCAGTCACATTGTGGCGTTATATTTTCACTGTAAGAGCTCTGCCTTTCCTGTGATGTGTTGTTTGTTATGTGTATTTTAAAGTAAATTTCCTCACAAGTACTTTTTAAAACTTATCTGTGACTATGTAAGCAGCATCGTCTCTAAGGTGACGGATGTGCTTCGCCTTGAAGGAAAGGGAGTGTACTGTTCCGGTGTTGAAGGAAATAAATTTTAAATTATGATTTTGTTAGATTAACTTTTGTAGGTTGTCAACATTAAAATTGCTTAGAGCAACAAAATAATAAAATGAAGTCTTGTCTGTGTTTGGATTTGAAGATGTATATATCTGCATGTGTGTGTGTAATATATATATATATATACATCACCCTGTATATATTAATACCTCGTAAATATAAATATAGATATACGGGGGTGATTTAACAGCAATGGAACAAAATGGGAAGGTAGCACAGCTTACTAAAATATATTTTTTTGTTTAGAATATGCAGTCGACATTGACGCGTTGAGGCACGAACACAAGAAATTAAACATGAAAAGAAAAACGATGTTTATTTACAACGTCATTCCAAAGTACTTCTTTGATTTAGTGTGAATAAATGCTCAAAATTGTGAACACCAATACTAATAAATTTTTTAGCGTGATCGGCAAACAGTTTCAAA